GTTCTATTCAAGTACAAATTTTTTCTTGCAGAATTATAGCAATCCCTCTTGCTCAGAAGAATTGTGATCTGTAACTGATTACATCCTAGCAAGAACCTTCTTGCAAGGATTATATTGGCTGGAAAACATAAATATTCTGATAAATTTCTTAAGATGCAGAATTAAATATGTATCAAATGTTTTGAATCCATGTACCCCAAAAAATAAATTCCCAAAATTAAATTTGAATAATAAATTAGATTTGAAGTACAAGGCCAGAGAACAAGAAAAAAAAACATTCCAGTAAATTTGTTTTCCAAACTTGATGATGGTACTCGAACATTTTTATTTTATTTTAATTTTAATATGTTAAAATTGCACTTAAATTTTTTCACAAAAGTGGATGTTATTATTTGTTAATGCATTAATGTTTCATTGAACATTAGATTCTTGAAAATTTGCCATTGTGAATTGACATTTCTATTTCTCTGATGGCAAGACTCTTTAGCGATAAAGAAAAACAGATGTGACAGCTTTTATTGTTTTCTTGATTATTTTAACATCCACTTACCACCATGATGATTTTGTTGAGTTCCACTTTGTCTTGACCCAATCCTTCGTTCAAAGCTTGCATTTTCAGCAATGCATCGCGCAGACTAGCTTCCTCTGTCTTCACTTTGTTGATTTCCAATTCCAGCTCGGCTTTAATCAACTCAGCCTTAGACAGGGCTTCAGCTATAATGTGTGTTGAATGAACAAAATATTATAAATAACAATTCTGGCATGTATACACTTTCACAATAACACATTTTAAAATAACAAACATTTGTTAACTGTTCTATTTTTCACATTAAAGATTCAGAGACAGTCAAGATTACCTCATTTTCGTTTTTCAAAATGGCTGCCATTTCAGACAAAGGATATAAATTTTTCATAGAAACGTGATTCATAACCCATTTTTGTTGTTGCTTCTATTCAAGTATCGTACACACGAATCAAGGCACAAGTAATCAAAATTTAACATTAAGAATGTTTATGATATTTCTGAGGATTTAACAAGCAGAGGCGCTGTATCTGTAAATGAGTCAAAATGGAGTTCCCAAAATCTACTATTGTACGCCTACAATGTATGCTAGATCTGGTCTGCCACCTAAACTATTATGATTGGATATTAATCACAAAGTTGTAGGCCTCTTTAACCCTTTCACCGCCAAAATCAACTTCATGTACCATCAACA